AAGTACTATGATTTTACATTGTTTAAGGCCAGATAATCAAGGAAGTACTGTTCAACCAATGATTACTTCAAGTCCTGTTAATCTGTAAGGTCGAGATTTATTACAATAATGAGGTGCAGAAATCTCTATGCCTGCTCCATTATACAGCCCCCATGAGTCAAAAAATCATGACTAACATAGGACATATACCAGGAAAAGGACTAGGAAAAAATGAAAATGGCATTAAAGTCCCAATTGAGACTGAGGAAAATCAAGAAAGAAAAGGAACAAGGTATCCTTTTTAGGGGTGGCCGCTGTAGAGCCTCCTAAAACCATTCCATTAACTTAGAAAACAGAAAAACCAGTATATTTAAATCAGTGGCTGCTACCAAAACAAAAACTGGAGGTTTTGCATTTATTAGCAAAGGAACAATTAGAAAAAGGACATATCGAGCCTTCATTCTCACCTTGAAATTCTCCTGTGTTTGTAATTCAGAAAAAAAATCCAGCAGGTGGCGTATGTTAACTGATTTAAGGGCTGTGAATGCCTTGATTCAACCCCTAGGACCTCTCCAACCCAGGTTGCCCTCTCCGGCCATGATCCCAAAAGACTGTCCTTTAATTATAATTTATCTGAAGGATTGCTTTTTTACCATTCCTCTGACGGAGCAGGATTGTGAAAAATTTGCCTTTACTATACCAGCCGTAAATAATAAAGAACCAGCCACTAGGTTTCAGTGGAAAGTGTTACTTCAAGGAATGCTTAATAGTCCCAACTATTTGTCAGACTTTCCTAGGTCAAGCTCTTCAACCAGTTAAAGACAAATTTTCATACTGTTATATCATTCATTATATTGATTATATTCTATGTGCTGCAGAAATGAGAGACAAATTAATTGACCATTACATATTTCTGCAAGCAGAGGTTGCCAATGCAGGACTGGCAATAGCATCTAATAAGATTCAGACCTCTGCTCCTTTTCATTATTTAAGGATCAGATAGAAAATAGAAAAATTAAGCCACAAAAAATAGAAATAAGAAAAGACATAATAAAAATATTAAATGACTTTCAAAGAGATATTAATTGGATTCGGCCAACTCTAGGCATTCCTACTTATGCCATGTCCAATTTGTTCTCTATCTTAAAAGGAGATTCAGACTTAAATAGTAAAAGAACATTAACCCCAGAGGCAACTAAAGAAATTAAATTAGTAGAAGAAAAAATTCAGTCGCTCAAATAAATATAATAGATCCCTTAGCCCCACTCCAACTTTTGATTTTTGCTACTGTACATTCTCCAACAGGCATCGTTGTTCAAAATACTGATCTTGTGGAGTGGTCATTTCTTCCTCACAGTACAATTAAGACTTTTACATTGTACTTGGATCAAATAGCTACATTAATTGGTCAGACAAGATTACCAATAATAAAATTGTGTGGAAAAGTACTTCCCATGTTAAAAAACATTTATTATCTTGTTTTGCTGTAATGGAGTTTCAGAAGAAATTAAAACTGATGATGGACCAGGATACTGTAGTAAAGTTATCAAAAAATTCTTAAATCAGTGGAAAATTACGCATACAACAAGAATTCCCTATAATTCCCAAGGACAGGCCATAGTTAAAAGGACTAATAGAACACTCAAAACTCAGTTAGTTAAACAAAAAGAAGGGGGAGACAGTAAGGAGTGTACCACTCCTCAGATGCAACTTAATCTAGCACTCTATACTTAAAAGTTTTTAAACGCTTATAGAAATCAGATTACTACTTCTGCAGAACAACATCTTGCTAGCAAAAAGAACAGCCCACATGAAGGAAAACTGATTTGGTGGAAAGACAACAAAAATAAGACATGGGAAATAGGGAAGGTGGTAACGTGGGGGAGAGGTTTTACTTGTGTTTCACCAGGAGAAAATCAGCTTCCTGTTTGGATACCCACTAAACATTTGAAGTTCTACAATGAACCCATCAGAGATGCAAAGAAAAGCACCTGCACAGAGACGGAAGCACTGCAATCGAGCAGCATCGACTCACAAGATGAACAAAATCGTGATGTCAGAAGAACAGATGAAGTTGCCATCCACCAAGAAGGCAGAGCCGCCAACTTGGGCACAGTTAAAGAAGCTGACACAGTTAGCTGAAAAAGGCCTAGAGAACACAAAGGTGACACAAACTCCAAAGAACATGCTGCTTGCAGCTTTGATGATTGTATCAATGGTGGTAAGTCTCTCCATGCCTGCAGGAGCAGCTGCAGCTAATTATACCTACTGGGCCTATGTGCCTTTCCTGCCCTTAATTCGGGCAGTCACATGGATGGATAATCCTATTGAAATATATGTTAATAATAGTGCATGGGTACCTGGCCCCACAGATGATCATTGCCCTGCCAAACCTGAGGAAGAAGGAATGATGATAAATATTTCCACTGGGTATCATTATCCTCCTACTTGCCTAGGGAGAGCACCAGGATGTTTGATTCCGGCAATCCAAAATTGGTTGGTAGAAGTACCTACTGTCAATACCAGCAGTAGATTTACTTATCACATGATAAGTGGAATGTCACTCGGGCCACAGGTAAATTATTTATGGGACTTTTCTTATCAAAGATCATTAAAATTTAGGCCTAAAGGGAAACCTTGCCCCAAGGAAGTTCCCAAAGGATCAAAAGACACAGAAGTTGTAGTTTGGGAAGAATGTGTGGCCGATAGTGCGGTGATATTACAAAACAATGAATTCAGAACTATTATAGATTGAGCACCTTGAGGTCAATTCCACCACAATTGCACAGGACAAACTCAACCGTGTCCCAGTGCACAAGTGAGTCCAGCTGTTGATAGTGACTTAACAGAAAGTTTAGATAAACGTAAGCACAAAAAATTACAGTCTTTCTACCTTTAGGAATGGGGAGAAAAAGGAATCTCTACTCCAAGACCAAAAATAATAAGTCCTGTTTCTGGTCCTGAACATCCAGAATTATGGAGGCTTACTGTAGCCTCATACCGCATTAGAATTTGGTCTGGAAATTGAACTACAGAAACAAGAGATCGTAAGCCATTTTATACTATTGACCTAAATTCCAGTCTTACAGTTCCTTTACAAAGTTGTGTAAAGCCCTCTTACATGCTAGTTGTAGGAAATATAGTTATTAAACCAGACTCCCAAACTATAACCTGTGACTATTGCAGATTGTTTACTTGCATTGATTTGACTTTTAATTGGCAGCACCGTATTCTGCTAGTGAGAGCAAGAGAAGACGTGTGGATCCCTGGGTCCATGGACTGACCGTGGGAGGCCTCGCTGTCTGTCCATATTTTGACTGAGGTATTAAAAGTCATTTTAAATAGCTCCAAAAGATTCATTTTTACTTTAATTGCAGTGATTATGGGATTAATTGCAGTCACAGCTATGGCCGCTGTGGCAGGAGTTGCATTGCACTCTTCTGTTCAGACGGTAAACTTTGTTAACGATTGGCAAAAGAATTCTACAAGATTGTGGAATTCATAATCTGGTATTGATCAAAAATTGGCAAATCAAATTAATGATCTTAGACAAACTGTCATTTGGATGGGAGATAGGCTCATGAGCTTAGAACATCATTTCCAGTTACAGTGTGACTGGAATACGTCAGATTTTTGTATTACACCCCGAGTTTATAATGAGTCTGAACATCACTGGAACATGGTTAGACGCCATCTACAGGGAAGAGAAGATAATCTCACTTTAGACATTTCCAAATTACAAGAACAAATTTTCAAAGCATCAAAAGTCCATTTAAATTTGGTACCAGGAACTGAGGCAATCGCAGGAGTTGCTGATGGCCTCGCAAATCAAGAGAAGACGTGGAATGGCGTGAACCCGGCAGGCGGAGCTTGCAGTGAGCCGAGATCGCGCCAGTGCACTCCAGTGGATGCTCAAGAAATGGTTAATAGGTATGAATGAGGAAAAATATGATGTCAGTGACATCATAACATCATTTTATGACATCAGCCCAATCTTCTATCATAACAAAGTAATGGTCTCTTATTGCTCTTAAAAGCTTCTTTATTTAAAAATATGGCCTTCTGGCTGGGTGTGGTGGCTCACGCCTGTAATTCTAGCACTTTGGGAGGCCGAAGCGGGCAGATCACCTGAGGTCAGGAGTTTGAGACCAGCCTGGCCAACATGGTGAAACCCTGTCTCTACTAAAAATACAAAAATTAGCTGGGTGTGGTGGCACGTGCCTGTAATCCCAATTACTCGGGAAGCTGAGGCAGGAGAATTGCTTGAACCCGAGAGGCGGAGGTTGCAATGAGCCGAGATCGTGCCATTGCACTCCAGCTTGGGCAACAAGAGTGAAACTCCGTCTCAAAAAAAAAAAAAAAAAAAAAAGGCCTTCTTTTTCCTAATTCTGTTATTGTGAAGGCACTTTAAATCGAGAAATGTAAAGCATTATCACGTGTATGCTCATGCTTTTTAAATGATAAAGCACAGGAATTTCGACGAATCCTCTCATAACAAAATGACATGGTGGCATAAAACTATATGTAGTGGAAACAAATAAAATCTGGGCATTATAGGACTACTTCATCTTTGTGGTACCAGTTCCTTGGGAGAGCAGAGGAACGACAGAGAATGAGAGAAAAGAAAGCTACTGTCATTATCCCATAAGTATATATGTGGTAGGTAGACTATCCATAATTACAACTGTTTGATACTACGTCATACTTCCTTAATTATATTTACTTTGGAATCAGAGTGTTGTTCTGCTGCCAGGCTGGAAAGCAGTGGTGTGATGATGGCTCACTGTGACCTTAAACTCCTGTACTCAAGCAATCCCTCCCCACTCAGCCTTCTGAATAGCTAGGACTGCAGGCGTATGCCTACCCCTGGGTAATTAAAAATATATATATTTTTAGAGACTGAATCTTGCTATGTTGCCCAGGCTGGTCTCGAACTCCTGGCTTCAAGCAATCCTCCTGCCCCAGCCTCCCAAAACTCTGGGATTACAGATATGTCCCATTGCACCTGGCCCTTCCTTAAATCTAAGATCTCGCAATGTTTCATAGAATTTCAATATGAATTTCATTATTAAAATTAAATCAAATGAAAGATAAAATCCCTGCAGAATAGTAAAAATTTACCACCCCATTCCAAACCTACTGTCTCTATTCCAAAGTGCTATTGGAATATGCCTCTATGCTTTTAGCTTTCAGTTAAGGTAGTACATGTATCAGAAGAGATACATTTTGTTGACAGTCAGAAACCTTACCACTCATTTCACACCAGAATTCTTGTATGTATAACATAATGTTCCTTTTTAAAATAATAACATATCTTATGATTCTCACCTGCCATAGTGAACAAAATCTGAAGCATAATCCATATCACAGCCCTTCACTTGCATCAGTGTCCATACACTCCAAATCAAATTGATCTGCATTACCTTTCTCATCACAAGATAGGATTCTAATCACAGGGCCAGTGAGACTGTTCCATTTCTTATCTAGAACTTAGAATATTTGAAGCCATCCTCCCTCCTTACAAACCATAATTATCTGTCAAGGTTCAGTGCAGAGAACAAAAACTCTCTTAACTATTTCAAGACATATATTGCAGTAAATTAGTGCTTTTGAAATTGGTAGGTGGGCTGTAAAGGCAATGAGGACACTTCTGGACTAGTGATTTCAAGGTAAACTCCCATAATGATGACCCAGAGATGGAGAAATGACAGTTGCTGAAACCAATGATGCTGCCAACAGTGCTACCTCAAAGTCACAGAATCTGAAACTAGACATGGGAACATGGAATCCAGTTCAGCTGCATGATAGAACTCGACTGCTTTACCTAGAATAACACGCAGCACACCACATACACACACGCACAGGCACATGCAGGGATGCACACAGCTACATGAGTAGTACTCATTACATAATTAGTGTTCATCATTTAGGATTCATTTCAAAAAATCACATCTCACTAAGCCTGCTCCGATCTCTTATAGTATGTTGTTTCTTGGTTATGTTCTCATAGCACTTGTAAATGATTATTTCAGGTTTATTTGCTATCCATTTCTCTTGTCAGATAATGTCTCTGTGAGAAAAAGACCACATTTGTTAATTATTACAATGGTTATCAAAACGTGCTTTCTGGACAAAACAGTGTTAGTGTCACCTAAGAACGTGTGAAAAATGCAAATTCAAATCAACTCATACAGAAACTAGAATTGAGACTTAGCAGTCTGTGCTTTAACAAGCCCTCCTAACGATTCTGACATACCACTAAAGCTCAGAATGACCAGATTCCTATATCCCATTGCTGTGTAATATACATGAGTGATGCTCAGTACATTTTCTTGAAATGTATTAAGCCCACGGAAATGGACTCTGAATAATCCTCACCAAAATACTGCTATTCTTAGTATAAAGAGCAGGCATTTTTCTCTAGGTTTGCTTGTCTCCCACTAAAGGCTATACTAAGGCTAATCTTAGTGAAGGTTTTTTGCCAGTAATAGTCACAGAGAAAGAGTTCATGATATACAAAATGATTTTATTAGATACCAAAACCTTTATTCACACCGTTATATTTCTTTTGCAGCTTTAATTTTTAACATTATAACATTTACTGGCTCCTTTGGGTGACTAAATATCTTCACATGCACACTAGTTAAAAATAATTTTTAAGTAGAACTTAAAACTACAAGCTACTGCTCTAAGAAATGCGTAATTATGTTTATTTGCTCTCCTGTAGAATCCTGTTTACAAATAGCATCACTGCAAAGATTTACACATGATTCCTAAATCTTTCAGGTTGTTCTACCATTAATCTTCTGATGGGTAGCAAGATAAACACTCCTAGTGAACACTTTGCTACATCTCTTAAATGAGATTTCTCTCCAGTTTGAGTTCTTTGTAAAATAAGTGATGCACTTGGAACTGAAGTCTTCCCTCAATTTTTAAATTTTCTACATTCATACAGTGTCTCTCCTGTAGGAGTTTGTTGGAGATTCTTATTGCCTTTAGTCTTTCCCATATTTGCTACATGTACAGGGTTTTATCCTAGTACGAGTATACTTATGTCAATTAAGGGATTAATACTGACAAAGGCTTTCCCACATTTATGGTCTTCATGTGATTTCTCTACAGTAAAAACTCTGATAAATAAAAACGTCTACATCATTGCTGAAAGTCTTCCCATATTCCCTACATTCATAAGACTTTTCCCTAGTATAAATTTTTCTGATGTTAAGTGAGTATCTATGAACGAAGTTTACCATGCTAAACACTGCTTCATACACATTCTCTTGTGTAAGGTTTCTCACATGTACAGTGATTCATATGGTCTAGAGGCTTTTCCACACTTACCACACTACTGGGTTTCTCTCCATTATGTACTTTGATGGGCAGTAAGATTTCAGCCTTTGCTAAAAGCTTTCCCACACTCATTACATTTATATGGCTTTTCTCCAATGTGAATTCTCTGATGTACAGTAAGGTTTGAACTACAGCTGAAGGTCTTCCCACATTTAATACATTCGTAAGTTTTCTCTCCAGTATGAATTCTGTGATGTTGAAGCAGGGATGACCTATGACTGAAGGCTTTCCCACATATACTGCATTCGTAGGGTTTCAATCTAATGTGATTTCTCAAATGCATATTCAGTGATTCAAGCTGGCTGAAGGATTTCCTGCATTTCTAAACTTCAAAGGGATTTTCTTCAGTATGAATACTCTGTTGAACAAGAAATGACAGGCTACTAAAGACTTTCAGGTATTTATTGCATTCATATTGTTTCTCCATAGTGTGAATTATTTGATGTTGAGTAAGGTGTGAGCTACAGCAAAAAGCTTTCCCACATTCTCTATATTCATAAGGCTTTTCTGATGGTGAATGAGAGATGACCTATGAATGAAGGCCTTTCCATGTATACGACACTCATAGTGGTTTTTTTTTTTCTTTTTTTTTTTACTCATAGCGTTTTTTCTTGCATATGAATTTTTAGATGTTGAACAAGAAGGGACACATGACTAAAAGACTTTCCACAGTTCATACATTCATATGGTTTCTCTCCAGTGTGAGTGCTCTGATGGTTAGTAAGTGATGAGCCATGGCTAAAGGCCTTCCCACATTCAATGCATTTGTAAGGCTTCTCTCCACTATGATTTATCTGATGTCGTTTAAGGGATGAGCCACGGCTAAAAGTCCTCCCACATTCACGACATTCATAGGGCTTCTCTCCTGTATGAATTTTCCAGTGGCGATTGAGGATTGACTGTTTGCCAAAGGCTTTCCCACATTCACTGCATGTATAGATTTTCTCTCTATTACAAGTCTGGTGAGGAGATTTGCTCTGGTTAAAGGCTGCTCCACTTTCATTAGAATTCAAAAGTTTCTTTCCACCATTGAGTCTCTCATTTTTTATAACTGACTTTTTGGGTAAATTCTTCTTTAATATATCATATTTGTGTGAATTTCCTTCAGCAAAATTTTTTTGTGGTTCAGAAAGAGTAGACTTTGAATGAAAGGTGTTTCTAAATGTGTCATATTTATAACTGTCCCCAGTGGGGCCTTCTCTAGAGGTGAGAGTTGCTGGTCTGAAATATTCTACATAAATTTCATGCTTCCCTTCCAACTTCTCTATATATTGCAAATTCTTATTAGAATTTGAAAATTCATAATTTTGTTTTAAAACATTTTCTACTGTTACTGTTTGGAGTGAATCTTCCTCATAAATATCCTTCTTTGTTGATAATTCCTTGTTTTCCCATCTTGATTCCCAATCTGAAATACATCAAGAAAGCACAGCACTGCTTTTTCTTTTTTTTACTTCTTGAAAAGACACTTCTATGGTGGAATTAGGAGAAATGGATAAGAAATGAAGTCCCCAGAAAACACATAGTTCAGACAACTCAAATATTTCAATGATTTCTGAACAATGCTCAAATGAAGCAGAGAATACAAAGTTCACAGAAGAAGGAGGAGTGATAACAGAAATGGGTAAAATATACATAATAGATAAAACAGTATGTGAAAAAAACGAAACTATCAGAAATAAAATGTGGAAGGCATTCTGGATTCCAAGTCATCTCTTTGTGCCCATATTCACATGTGAAAGACTGCATTTTGTCTCATAGCCTTTTTCTCCAACCTTCCATTAATCTCAATTTGCTGCCAGATTAACACACTTAAAATACAGAATTGATACTACTACATTAAACAGCTGCAGTAAAAACAAAATAATCTAAGTGCTCTTTATAGCTGACAAACATTTAGGCCTTCTGAGGTTATGAAGAAACTGTGAATCATATCACTTATTAGACATTAGAAAATATTATTCCTAGGAACATATTTTATATGTTCCTTACTTCCTCTAATATGTTCATATTTCATCCACAAAGCTCAGCTTTAGAAAAGTGATTTTCCCTCTAATTGACAGCTTTTCTTAGCTAAAAGTATCAGTATGTTTTTCCTTATGTAGATTTAAGAAAGAATAATTTGCCTTACTTTGTCATGAATAGAGTAACAATTTGAATTATTATGATGGCAAAAACCTCTAAACTTGATTAGGTGATATGAGTGATACAGATAATAATTTGGGATAGAGAAACAATTATTTTGAAAATCTAAGCTAAATATTTCGTTTTATATTTTTCATTTATATTTGAGATATTTGGAGATAGTATTCCTAAAATGCCTCCACACTCACTATAAACATCTTTAACAAAATCTTCCTTAGTCTGGTTCACCATGACTCACCTGGAATCATACCAAAAGACAGTTTTTTCTCCACCATCCAGGGCTCTCTCCCATCCTCCAACAATGTGATCACATATGGCTTAGTTACGGAAAGACCTGCTTACAGGAAGAATATAGAATTGTTTAAGCTGTGGTCCTCTATTATGAGAGGCCATCACAAGAGGGACCACAAGAAGGGATAAAGGGTATCCACTGAAATGGAAAGATAAGCTTCAGGGAGGGCACAACAGAGCTGCACATTTCCTTGGGAACATGGTACGGAAATTCAGCCATTTACTTAGGAGGCTCTTCAGCAATTCAGAGTGGCAAAAGAGCCCCTATTGGAGTGGATGGGGTAATATCCTTACTTACAGAGACCAGGTTCTTGTAATTCTGGACCATCACATCCTTGTATAAGTCCCTCTGAGCAGAATGGAGTCATCCCCACTCTTCATGAGAGAAGTCTATAGCCACATCACTAAATGTCACCTGAAATAGCAAATATATTTAGGCTCAGCCATAGCCCAGACCTCTTCTGTCACTGATGAAGGGGTAAAATTAGCCTGCTTGTGGAAGAAATGGAACAAGATTCAGGAGTTGTGACAAAAATTGGGAATGTGATCTTAGTTAAGTAATAATAGGACAGTTATGTAGATGGAATTCTTACATAATAAGGGGGACAGTTATGTGCTTAGGATTATTATACAATAAGGGTGAGAGACAAATATGAGAGCTTTGCTTCAGTAGAATTTTTTGTTAAAAGTTATAGAATTACATGAATTTTTAAAAATCAACATTTAACATTAGACAGCATAGAGTCAAGTATTTGGTTATATCTTTTATAGTTTAAGTACTAGGTAAGTAAAAAATGAGGCTAAAGCGATTGTCTCTCAAACAAGATACTCAGGATGATCCACTAAGGCTCACAAAAAATGGGTTCAGAAAAAAGATCTTTATATTAAAGACTGATAGACATTAATATACATTTTGGTAAATTCTTCTTTAATATATCATATTTGTGTGAATTCCCTTCAGCAGAATTTTTTTGTGGTTCAGAAAGAGTAGACTTTGAATGAAAGGTGCTTCTAAATGTGTCATATTTGTAACTGTCCCCAGTGGGGCTTTCTCTAGAGGTGAGAGTTTTATTTCTCTACAGGCGAGAGTATTATTTAAAATAGTAAAACTTTAGAAGCTTAAATATTTAATAATAGCTTATTGGCTAGTCAAATTATAATATGTGCAAAAAATACATCCATTTAATACAGCATTATTACTGTCTTTGATTTGTGAAACAGACTGATCTACTGTGGTAATTTGTTAGCTCCGAGAGTTAAAGAGTACTAGCACTTATTTAAATTGCTTATGCTTTCTTACTTTTCTACAGTGCTGCAATCCTCAATACAGGAGCCACGAGTCAATTTGGCTACCTACATTTAAATTAATTAAAATGTAAAAATTAAATAAATAAAATTTAAAATTCAGTTCCTCAGTTGCTTAAGCTACAGTTCAATTACTCAACAGTCATACAGGGCTGGTGGCTACTGTACTGACCAGTACACATGCAGAGCACTTCCACCACTGCAGAAAGTTCTCTTATAAAATACTACACTAGATCATGAAGTTCTGTGTGTCAGTGCACACCAAAATCCATGTACAACTTTTCCTAACAGGTACTTCATAAGCATTTAGAAGATGAACCAATGAATGGTTTGGCATTAGTTCACTTTAGCCTTTCCTTTTTTTTTTTTTTAAGAGACACAGTCTTGCTCTGTTGCTAGACTGGAGTACAGTGACATAATCATAGCTCACTGCAGCCTCACACCCCTGAGCTCAAGCAATCTTCCCACCTCATCAGCCTCCCAAGTAGCTGGGACAGCAGATATGTATCAATATGCCAGTTTTTCAATTCTAATTATCTAATTTTTCCAAGAAAATATACTTCACTCAACATGTACATCTGCTACTCACATCCCCTCCCATGCAAGCTTCACCTTCCATGCCATGATTCTGCCCCACCAGTTCTTCATTACTCATCTTATTCACTCCACAATTACTTACTAAGCATCTATCTGGTGCCAGGTACCACTCTGGGCACTGAAGCTATAACAGACAACAAAAAAGAAAAAACATTTCTCCCACCAGGAACAGATAATGAGCACGTGCATAAACTGAACGTAAGTACATCAGCTAGTGAGTGACACGTGCCGTGGAAAACAACAAAGCAGTGATGGAGGAGTGGAAGTGTCAGGCGAGGGAAGGTGACTGCAATTGCAAATAGGCGTTCAGGGAAGCTCTTCTGAGAAAGTAACCACAGAGCAAACATACGAAGAAGAATGCAAGCTTGTGCGTATGTCGGGGAAGAATATTCCACGTGGATGGCACAACAACTGGTGACAGTGGCTGGAGCTCACAGGAATGAGGAGGCAGAGAAGGAAGGTGGGATCAGAGAGGTAGTGGCCTAATTGTGCAAAGAGGTTATTGCAGAAGTGACTCTGAGTTAGAGACACTGAAAAATTTTAAGTTAAGGAATGACAGAAATTTATGTAAGGATAGGATCACGGTGACTGCTGTACTGAGAACAAACTGATGAGGGTTAAGGGCAGATGCAAGGAATCCAGCTAGGAGGCTACCACAATAATCCAGGTGTTTGGTCTGGGGTGGTAGTGGTAGTGGTGTTGATAGGGTAACGAATGGTCAGATTCTGTATACAGTGTATTGTTTATATCCAACTAGAGGACCTGAATATGAGCAATGAGTGAAAGGGAAGAATCCAGGATGACTGCAAACATCTCTTGACTTGAGACCACATGGTACGGTTTTGACAACCATAAAGCAAATAACCTTACATTCCAAACTTGCATCGTGAATTACAGTTTTAAAATGTTGGCAAGACTAGAACGTATTCTAGCAGAAAACTGTAGAAAAGAGGAACACTGGCTGAGAAGGACAATACCCTGGAGCTCTCCGGTGGGCTCCAACCTTCTTATAGTGAAAGGAACCATAGACCCAGTCCCTTAAATGGATTTGATTTGGTGGGAACAGGCAGGAGAAGCAAAGCAAACTGATCAAGTTGTTTCAGGAAGATCTGGGGACACATCGACTTACTTGCGACATTACTCGGCAATTTCCAATAGCCAACAGAGTCCTCTTTCCAGGCTCTTATCTTAGAGCTGGGCAGTGTCCTGAGGGCACAGAAGGGCAGGAAAAAGCAGTTATGAAAAATCAGGCTTATGTTGCGGCACCTGTGACACACCATAATGGAAAGGTACACTGGTAATCACTCTCTGGGGCGCCAATCTCTCCCTGGGCACTGAGTGTTTCTCCGCAAGGGCTAACCGCTTACCAGGTGCCACCTGAGAGGAAAATCAATTATTCTGCACATAAAAGACTCATAAAATAACAGTAATAACTTTATCAGCTCGTTCAATCTTGACCAATGCACGGTGGGCATTCACATTATTCCAGATCTCTTTTTAAACGATGACGAAACTGAAAATTCCAAGATACTGAACCCATTTGTTCAAGGTTACACAACTGCAAAGCACCGACTTCATGACGACATAACCCAAAGACAACTGTGGCTGGCGTCTGCTCAGGCGCCCACTTCGCTCTCACAACAGCGCCAAGAGGTCGATGCCGTCATCACCTCGCGTTTACACAGCACGACACGAAGGCCAGGAAAAGCCAAGGCTCCGGCCAGGGTCACACCACGAGGCAGACCCAGGGCCTGAGCCCCACCGCCGCCCTCGGGACTCGCACTGGCCGGAGTCCTCAACGGGGCCTCACGGTCCCCGCAGGCGCCCCGAGCCCGCATCTCTGCGGACAGGACGCACCGCGTAGCTGGTGAGCGGGCAACGGCCGCCGACCTCCGGGAACGACACTGCCCAGAATCGTTCCTCAGCCTGGGAGTCCCCGCCAGGCCTGAGGCTATCGCGAGACTGACCCAGTGCACCGCCTAAGGCCAAGCCACATTTTCTAGAATCCTCCGCGTGCGGGACAAAAGTGCCGGGTGCAGCGAACCGCAAGCACCGGAAGACCACACTTCCCAAGAGTCTCTGCGGCGGCGCGGACCTGGTCAGCTGCGGGCAAACCGGTCTTGGCTTGGTAAGAAACTAAACTGCCTGGGGCTGTCGTCTCAGTGCCGGCTAGTTAGGACCACGCGCGAAGTGTTCTGGGGCACACAGTCCTGTGGTGAATGATACACCTCGGAACCGAAGGCCACCCAGTGGCGCCCGGACCAAGAAATTACACTTTCCAGAAAACTCTGCAGCCGCCCTAAGGTTTTCCGGGTCATTCATTTGCTCACACAAACGTTTCCCTCCGGGATGTAGGCAGCCCTTGCTGGTACTGCGCAAGTGCTCGCCGGTGCTAGCAAAGGGGCTTCTCTCATCCCAAACCCTGCTGCTGTGCTGTCCACCTTTTGAGGTCCTTTTGTGTTTTTGGCACTCATTTGCCCAAGACAATAGCTCACAAAACGCCCTGTGACCCGACTGTCACAACTGTAGTTCGCCGGCCAAGGACATTTCCTGGAAATGCATGCGGACACGTATATGTGACACTAATGACGGCCGTTCTGACGTGCGTTACGTCCCCTGGGAGGACTTGGAAATACTGAACTTGAGTGAGCACTGGGAGGATGGAGACCCTCATCCTAGGAGGAGTCACTCCTCCTGCAGCCATCAGAGCCTGTCGCCGCCTCTCCCCAGAAGTGCTTCTTAGGCCCTGACCTTGCCCGGCCCACCCAAAAGGGCAATGGACCTCTCTGTATGCAAGCCAGAGCAGTCTACTGTTTGTGTATATTTGGCTTGTTTACTTTCTTTCTTTCTTTCTTTCTTTTTTTTTTTTTTTTTGAGACGGAGTCTTGCTCTGTCGCCCAGGCTGGAGTGCTGGAGTGCAGTGGCACGATCTCGGCTCACTGCAAGCTCCGCCTCCCGGGTTCACGCCATTCTCCTGCGTCAGCCTCCCGAGTAGCTGGGACTACAGGCGCCTGCCACTACGCCCGGCTAATTTTTTGTATTTTTTAGTAGAGACGGGGTTTCACTGTGTTAAGCAGGATAGTCTCGATCTCCTGACCTCATGATCCGCCCGCCTCGGCCTCCCAGAGTGCAGGGATTACAGGAGTGAGCCACCGCGCCCAGCATACTTTCTTTTTAACATTTAAATTAAATGTTAATTGACCTCACTCATTTTAAAAATTATAGTGTGGCTATAGACTTTTTAGTACTTGGTAAGTACTGACCTACATGATCGTGAAGCGGTGCTTCTGTTACCAGAAAGGGGTCCCAGTCTAGACTCCAAGAGAGGGTTCTTAAATCTCAGGCAGGAAAAATCCGTGGGCGTCCACAGTGCAAAGCCAAAGCAAGTTTATTAAGAAGGTAAAGACACAAAAGAATGGGTACTTCACTGGCAGAGCAGCAGCTTGGGCTGTTGGAATAAGGATACTTGTAGTTATTTCTTGATGATATGCTAAACAAGGGGTGGTTTATTCACGAATTTTCAGGGAAAAAGGTGGCAGTTTCCCGGGGCTGAGGGCTTCCTCGATTTTTAAACCATACAGGGTAACTTCTGAACCTTACCATGGCATTTGTAAATTGCCATGGCCCTGGTGGGAGTGTCTCTTAGCGTGCTAATGCATATAATTAGCATATAATGAGCAGTGAGAACTACCAAAGGTCACTCTCCTTGCTATCTTGATTTTGGTGGGTTTTGGCCAGCTTCCTTACTGCAACCTGTTTAACCAGCAAGACTTTTATGACCTGTGTCTTGTGCGGACCTCCAGTGTTATCCTGTGACTTAGAATGCCTTAACTGTCTGGGAAGTAGGTCTCAGCTTTGTTTTACCCAGGCCCCATTCAAGATGGAGTCGCTCTGGCTCTGACACTTCTACCTTGGTGTATCCTGTGGATGTGGTGGTGAGTTCCTATAGCAGCCATAGTTTTAAAAAACATTGTGGCATCAGCTGGCTTCCTCTCAAGGCTCAGAGTATGTAATAAGGAAAGACTGGATTGTGCAAAGTATGTTCCCATTTATGACTTTACTGTACAATAATGAATTGTTTTCCAAAGTTGTACCAATTTTCACTCCCACTAGAGTTTATGGTTATTTTGGTTGCCAGCTCTTACTGCCAACACTGGATTTGTGAAACTTTAAAATTTTGATAATTTACTAGGTGTGAAATCATAACTCGTGGCTTAAAGTTGCATTGTTTAATTCTTAACGAGATTGAGAGTCTTTTCAAATGTCTGTTGGCCTTAGTATTGTCTTCTCTGAGAACTGCAGGTCTTTTGGTTAATGTTCTTTTGGAATGATGACCTTTTTAGTATTAAAATGCAGGAGACATAGAAAAAAATGAGATTTTAAGGAGATAGTGCAGTGACTAGGTTATTAAGATTATTTTCCACTTAGAATCCTGAGCTTTCAACTGAAGTAGTAACTGAATGTGTTTTCTGGAGCTTGGCATAATGTTTCTGGTTATGAAATTCTTAAAATCTTTCCTGCTTGGGATTTGCTGAACAACCTGAATCTGTGACGTGCCATCTTCGGTGTTCAGCAAACACTTCCTCTCTCATGTATTGCCTCTTGCCCATTCTTTCTCTCCCTTGAGAACCCCAATTCATTATAAGGCAGGTATTACCACTCTGTATCCTCCAGGTGTCTTAAATTCTCTGTAATTTCCATCCTTCAATCTCTGCGTTGCATTCTGAATAATTTATTCCGATCTACTGCCCATTCATAACTGTCTCTCCAGGACACTTTAATTTCAATTTTTCAAAAAAAATTTTTTAACATGGTAGGCATAGTTGCTTCATAATATGTATCTGATAATGGCAATAACTGAATATTTTATGGGCCCCTTTGGATGTTCATTTTTAAATTCTTCAATCAGTTTGGTTGCTTCCTTTTTTGTTGGTTATCTTTGTCCTTGAAAAGAGATTTCAGGGAGCTTCCCTATATCCTTAGATGAAAGTGCCTTTCTCTTCTAGAGATTATATACTTTTTTTTTTCAGACGAAACTAAGATCCCTACCACTCTGGAACCACTTTAAACCACACTTAAGACATAAAGTCCCTGCTCAATCCATCCAGAAAAGCTTACATAGGGATTCTTCATTGTTGCTGCTTTTCCTCATGAGCTCCCTGGAAGAATTGTGGTGGCTTCCCATTGTGAGTCCTCCGATATTTGGAATATGAGTAAAGTTCATGAGTGGAGAGAGAGCCAACATTAAAGCACTAGATGTGACTCAGGGCATAGGTGAGAAGAACTTTAAATGGAGGGCTAGTCCTTTTGTTTCAATAGCTATGTCTGGCCATCTCGTAAAAAGCATTCCTGTGACGCTAAAGCCCTAACTTGTGAGTGCTCCATTGTAGGGAAAGCAGTAGTCTAGGAAAGCCAAAGAATGTCGTCTTAAGTACAGCTCCATTTTGAGACTAGCAAAGTATATTCCTTGCTGGTCATGAGCCATAGTCATGGGGTGTTTATAGTTGAGGAAAGAGCCTAAAGATACCTACAGGGACGCTCCTACAACAGTGCAGAGTCCAGATGTCCCAGTACCCATAACAATGTATGCTTTCAAGATAATAGCTATGCTTTGATGTATTTACACACTAGAATGTCAAGGCTAGTTTAAATGAATACAGTAATAAATTTTGTCATTGTGCCTGCTCACCCACGCATAGACACAGTTTAGCTTAGTTTTTTCGTAGATAAGACCCCTATATAAGAAAAACCTAAAACAAAGCCAGTGCATTCCCCCTCTTGCTTTCTGAGGGCTGCTCACTAATGGTGTCGCTTCTAATAAACTTGCTTCTTTCCTTTGGTTTTTTTGAGATGGAGTTTTGCTCTGTTGCCAGGTTGGAGTGCAGTGGTGCGATCTCGGCTCACGGTAACCTCTGCCTCCCAGGTTCAAGTGATTCTCCTGCCTCAGCCTCCTGAGTAGCTGGGACTACAGGCACGCGCCACCATGCCCAGCTAATTTTTGTATTTTTAGTAGAGATGGGGTTTCATCATGTTGGCCAGGATCGTCTCAATCTCTTGACCTTGTGATCTGCCTGCCTCAGCCTTCCAAAGTGCTGGGATTACAGTTGTGAGCCACCTTGCCCAGCCTAAACTTGCTTCTTTCATTCCACTCTATGACTCACCTTAAATTCCTTCCTGAACCAGATCCAAGAACCCTGTCTTGGGGTCTAGATCGAGACCTCTTTTCTAGTGACAACATGACTTGCATTGTTAGAAAGGTTAGAGGCACTGGAATAGAGACTGAGAAGGAGAAATTGGGTGTGAGGTAGAGAGAATCACAGGTATAAGCAAGTCTGTTTTAAACAAATATTATGCCAGACACTTGAGAAAGAAAATGGGGCAGAGAGAGAGAGAGAAATAAGGAGAAGGAAAACATTACATGCAATACTGAATCCACTCCCTTCCACTAGTTCTTAGCTGCCTTCTGTCCCTTTCCTATTTAAAATAATGCAGTATTTACAGTCAGTGATTTTTGCTGTTGGGATTTTTCTGGTCAAGGGCACATTTTAGAATATGAACTTGGGAGAGTAAATGCCAGTTTATGTTGATGCTGAAGCTGTTTAAGATTCAGGGCATGCTATGATGTGAATGTCTGTCCCCTGCCCCTGCCACCAAATTCATATGTTGAAACCAAATCCCCAGTTTAATACTATGAAGAGGTGAGACCTTTGAGGAGATACTAAGTCATGAGGCTGGAGTTCTCGTGAATGGATTAGTGTCCTCATAAAAGAGGCCCAAACTTGTTTGCTCCTTTTGCCATTTGAGGATATGGAAGAAAGTGTCGTGTATGAAAGGAGACAAGGTTTCTGATTTGTTTTTTGGTGGAAGTTTAGGTTCCAATAAGTCCCATATCAGATCAGCGCAGCAGCTGCTTAGCCTGTGGGAAAATTCATGGTTAATGGGTCACAAGGGAGTATGAGCCCTTAATCTGGCCTCCAGCACTTATGGGACGGGGACAAGAGCAAACATTTACGAAGATAAGTTAAGGCCTGAGTTGAGATACAGGCCTTTAGGGGTTTGTGTTTTGGACTGGAGGACAGAAGAGATCACCCCCTCCTGTAGGTGGAACATACCAGAGGACCTAGGTTTGGTTCCATCCTATCTAGGGAGGCCTCAGTAGCCATGCCCAGCTTGTGGGGTGCTGTGTCTATGACCCAAAGCATTATGAGCAGCTGGGTATG